GGTCCTAGTTTTTCCTTAATAATTCAAAAACAAAGCTTCAAATCCCACTTTTGCAAAGGGAAACCTTATTCTACCGGCGTGTAAGAGAGAGACTAGTAAATTTGGAAACGGGTGTAGTTTTACTTACCTTCTTATCTTCGCATCTTTAGGTCTCTTGCATTTCTTCCAAACGTTTCCTTCTTTCAGAATGTAAGTATGTTTCACTACACCTCCACACGGGAATGGATTGTTACTGACCCGAAATTATGCTTATAACACGTTCCTACTAGTTTTTGTTATCATTTATCTTCAAATCTTATACAAGCGTACGAATTCATTTCATACATCATGACTCATATCGATCAACATAATCTAATACCTCTATTCTTTCGATAAAGAGTTATCTAATTGTAAGTATTAGGTAAGCAATATAAATTCTTATTTTGCTTGATTCTCTCGAAAAGTTATGGAAATATAATTATAGAAATAAAAATTATATGAGTCAGATAGTAACTGATTTCGATGACCTTGAAATCTCAGGAAATAATGAACTTTAGACAAATTTTTTAACCGTTTGCCCCCTGACTAGAGAACACTGACATTTTTTTCTATCATAAAAAATAAACAAGATATTCAAGATACTCAAGTTACGTGTCACACCCTGCAATGGAACAATCATTCTTTTACATAACATTTTTGGCACTGTTATTTATATACCCTAAAATGTAGGTCACACATGCATTTGATGAAAGGAAAAATAACATCACCATACCTAGATTTAATAATTGTTTACTGATAAACACGACATAACATTTCCACCAATTCAATTTATCGTATTATACACATATAATAATCATTTTTTACCCAAAAACTGTGTGATTCAAAAATTTGTATAAAACTTTGCATGTATTTGTCAGATTAATTGTAATTTCCACAGAGTTAAACAAAATTAAGCTATCTAATTTCTCTTGCAACAAACGGCACAGGCTTTATGATCGTATTACGAGAATCATGAACACAGTTCGCGACTCGTCTCTTTTTTCTCCTTGCGTACGTTTCTCTTCGATGACCTTCTTTTACTTTGCCTCGACCTGCTCGCGTGCCAACTTGTGACTCGACATCTGAAACTGTCATATTTTTACCGACAAGCTTTATTAACTTAATTTACTCCTACAAATAAATGTGTGGCGGTACATGACTCGCAGCGTTGGTAGGAAATAGCATTGACCATTTACAGATGTTTAGGATACGCCAATTAAGCCTAGCCTGAGGTCTGTAAGTTGGCGAAATTATTTTGCACTTTTTACACGTGCGTAGTTGAATAGACTATTCTACCATAAATTCTACCACGCCTCGTTACAAATTTGGAATTTACGTTTGCGTAATTTTCCTCTGCGAAAAATCGAAGTGACTTCAAGGAAGGGGTTAACACCGCCCTCGAAGTTTTAAGGGTTAACACTTTTCCAAAGACGAAATGTATACATGATTTCAATAGGATTTCACAGAATATCATAGGATTTTAAACACTTTATTAAAGTTATAATAAAAATATGAAACGCTTTCGATATCACGTACAGGGTGTTTCAATTTTGTCCATATACCTTAGTTGCATATTCTATGAATAAAAATGTTTGTAATAACATAGGATCTTGAATGCTTTATTGAAAGTTATTAACAAAATCAACAATCTTTATGTAGTATCGCAGGAGAAAACCGCCCATTATCATTTCGTTCCTCATGATCTTCTAACAAAAAAAAGAGCCTGTGCTTATATAACATTGTTATCACGCTTATTTGTGGAACATGCTGATAAACTTTTACGTACCAAACTGGAACACACAGAACGTTGCAACGAAAAATAAAGCAGTCCGATTTTGTGTATAAACTTAAGTTATAGCTAATAAACCCTTTCATTAATATAATATCTTGTTTTTTTTTTACATCTTATCTTATTTTTAACATCTTTTCTCACTTCTTATATGTTAGTAAAATTCGGCTATAAAAAGCTAGGCACTCTATATCTTTATGTGCCCATATATCAAATTCATAGTTGATATATGTATTATAAAACCACCGTGCCATTTATGTAGACGATTTTGAAACATCGAAAATCAGCCAGGATTTAACGACATAAAAGTATCATAAAAAATTGCATACATATATCAATTTGAAGGTGAAACCAAAATAACAAACGTTTTAGTAATATTTTAAATGCAAAATGGTGGTCACTTGGAGGAAGCAATGATCGATTTCAGATCATCTTAAGTATGAAACAATTTGATGTATAAAGTTATCGTGAAGTAGCTCTTCTGCTTCACTTTAAAGCTTAACGTTTAGAACCACCATACGAATTTATTACTTACTGTACCTTAGTATAAAATCGTTTAAATCTTGAAGTGCAAGATTGTTACATAACACTGTATAATAATTGTACCTTCTAGTAAAGATAGTTACTTCCTGTACAGAATAATCGATGAGACTATTATCGGACAATTAGCCAATTCGTATTGAAGAAAACTATGAAAGGTTCGTACAGTCATTTTCGCAAAACTTTAAGCTTGAATTTGATGTATCATAAATACTGATTTCTGTTACTATGTTATGAAATTCTGGTTCTCCAAGTTCTGACATTTTTGAATTACTAATTTCTTATGCAACAAGCTAATAGTTAATAAATCCAAATATTTGTATTATTTCTCTTTCACGATTAAGTCGATGCTTTCTTCATTTCTAAACGTTTTGTGTTCAAGGACACGCAAAGAATAGGTCATTACATTACTTTTGCCCTAAGCTATTATATTATGTATGCAATATAATTTACAAAAACATCGATTAACTCAAACTCTCAAAAAATGTAGCCTTGAGAAAAAGTTGTTGTTTACCGACATATTTGTCCCTCCGAAGCAAACAATTTACCCCTTTGACATTTTCACGTATAATTAAAAATAACGGAAATATCACCTTGTAACGAGTTAATGGAACACTCTGTATATTGTCACTGTTTCATTTTCGTGTCAAATGATATCAGCGTATTCTATAATTAAATGTCACAAAAAAATAAATGAACGGAGTGGTAAATATGTCAGTATGAAATTCTAACGGAAACATCAAAATTACAAGTTTTTATTCTGAGAGTTTGTTTTTAACTACAAAACTGAAACTGGTAATAAGTTGAGTTTCATCTCTAAATGCAACATTAAACAAAAAAGCCGTAGTTTGCTGTTTTAATGTATTTGTTGCAGAGACTATTTATTCCAAATTTTTTGACAACATTTTTGTTATAATATTGTTATCAGTATTTGTTTGATATATATTTTGTTTTGTTATATAAAATGACACTTTATGTGTCATGCATACATCTATATAATATTTTTTGCATTTTGTCATGGAATATGCTGACGTTTAACTCTGCTGAACAGGAATTTGAAGTTTTTATTATACGGTTGCAAATGACTGAAAAATTGTGCGTAGCGCTAAAGTGAACACCGTACAGAGCTGAGAAAGATTGATTGAAAAGTCAAACTGTGTATAACCATCAACCTGTGACTTTTCGAGGCAAACGGACCAAACTGTGAAATCGATTTAACGTGAACTCTATTCAGCTACGAGCAATGACAGATCACGAATTCAATCGCGTCGTGCCAGTCACTGATGCAATTAACCTGGTACGGAGATGCAACGTTTACTTTTTAATTTGCTTCTCAATCTCACAGTACGCTGTAAACTAAAAGTGCAAAAAGAAGCAATTGAGTGGTATTGTATTAATTTTCAATTTCATCTGATACCTTAATATTTGTAATATTTAGAAATAATAGGAGAACATGGTGTCATGTGGTTGAATATGGTCTCACGTAACGTGAGAAGAGAAAATTCTATTTTCAAAAAGACATAGTATTGCTATTTGAAATATAGGCAAAAACTGAATTATCAATCGTGTAATTAGGTGGAAAGTATATTCGTATTATATACTGTATTATGAGTTTAGAAATTATTGAAGGTACTAGTTTGAAAACTTTTTAATTTTAAAAAGTTTGAAATATTTAGGTTTCTAGGTTTCCGGTCTACCGAGCTTAAAAATGTTTAAATTTTCAATTTTACAAACTTCCTAATTTGCAATTGTCAAGTTTTTGACATTTCAAATTTCTACGTTTCGAAATTTCTGAATTTTGAAGTTCTCAAATCCCCTAATAATCACGTTACTCAATTCCTACATTCCTTAATTCCCACATTTCCCAATTCCTACATTCCACAATTTCCACATTTCCCAATTCCCACATTCCCCGATTCCCACATTCCACAATTTCCACATTTCCCGATTCCCACATTTTTCAATTCCCACATTCCCCAAATCCCACATTCCACAATTCCCACATTCCCCGATTCCCACATTTCCCAATTCTCACATTTCCCAATTCCTACATTCCCTAACTCCCACATTCACCAATTCCCACATTCCCCAATTCTCACATTTCCCACTTCCCACATTCTCAAATTCTCACATTCCCCAATTCCTATATTCCCTAATTCCCACATTTCCCAATTCCCACAGTCCCCAATTCCTACATACCCAAATTTCTACATTCTCCAATTCTCATAATTCCTAATTCCCACATTCCCCAATTCCCACATTTCCCAATACCTACATACCCAAATTTCTACATTCGCCAGTTCCCAAATTCCCACATTCCTAAATTCCTAAATACCTAAATCCCTAAATCCGAAAAATGTAGAACTAACCATGGTGCATACTTTGAATAAAGCATTTTTTCCCAAAGTATTGTTTTCTTAAAAGAAATTAAGAATTATTTACCGGTGCAGGTTAATGATTCGAATATCTACACAGCTGGTAAAACAAGGTATAAACCTGGTTGGTCAATTTTATAGTTATAAAACTTCAATCTGCGGATTGCGCTTCCAGACAGGACTTGGGAAAACATCTGTCGACAACTATTACACGCCTTAATTTTCTGGAATCATCAAATTTGAAATTATTTTGCAAGAAGACAGTTATGTATCTCGTAAATACACCCGCGAATAATGGAGGGTTAAGGAGTAATCTCGTATTTCTTCACGCTGCAAAACACAAAACAGCGAATAGGTACATTTGAAACAGGATCTATAGCCTAATTTCCAGGTCTGTGCTATAATCCTGCAGCTTGCACGATTTATGGAGAAACGGAAGGGGGCGGGAGAAACGTATGCAAGGAGAAAGAAGAGATGAGTCGCGAACTATGTTCATGATTCTCGTAATGCGATCATAAAGTCTGTGCTGTTTGTTGCAAGAGAAATTAGATAGCATAATTTTGTTTAACTCTGTGGAAATTACAATTAATCTGACAAATACATGCAAAGTTTTATACAAATTTTTGAATCACACAGTTTTTGGGTGAAAAATGATTATTATATGTGTATAATACGATAAATTGAATTGGTGGAAATGTTATGTCGTGTTTATCAGTAAACAATTATTAAATCTAGGTATGGTGATGTTATTTTTCCTCTCATCAAATGCATGTGTGACCTACATTTTAGGGTATATAAATAACAGTGCCAAAAATGATATGTAAAAGAATAATTGTTCCATTGCAGGGTGTGACGCGTAACTTGAGTATCTTGAATATCTTGTTTATTTTTTATGATAGTGAAAAATGTCAGAGTGTTCTCTAATCAGGGGGCAAATGGTTAAAAAATTTGTCTAAAGTTAATTTTTTCCGGGATTTCAAGGTCATTGAAGTCGGTTACTATCTGACTCATATAATTTTTATTTCATAAACAATGCTAAGTAACGCCTTTTTGTAGATCATTCATTGTTTCATACTTTCTATCGTCATATGCATTTATAATAATTTTTCAATACTATTTCATAACACACATAAAATTTATTTACGCGAAAAATTCGAAGAGGTTATAACAGCGTTGTTTGAATGAAAAATGGTGTAATTTATAATGAATATATCCTCTAATATATCATGGACATTTGCTTCCCTAAGTAACACTAACTTGTTGTTATGTTCGACAATGAAACATGGATTAAAATGAAATTTTCATTAAAAGTGGACAGTAGCTGTTAGAATCTCTATTTTGAAATTATGACTTGTCGCATTGTTATTCGAAAACCTGCGACGAG